ACTAAGGGTATGTGCACATGCTCACACACACATTCTATCACGTGTACACACATGCCTGTGTTATACATGGAGACTCTGGCAGGGTCACAGACATGCAGGTCTCTAGGATGCTAGAGGGGACGCTCATATGTCAACGAGATCTTTGCGGTTGGGCAAGCCCATAAAAGCATGGGAACAGGTGTCCGAAAAGAGAGGAAGGAAACTTGTGGGTGGAGAGGAAATCAGTAAGGGAGAAGTGATATTGATAATGGGCTGTGCTTATAGATGCTGAAGCCATGAAAGCATGAGGGCCAGGCGTGAAGATCAGTTTGTGGCAACAATCAGGAATGGAAGGAGGAACAATGTAACAGTGTGAGGACATAGGGTGCAGGGCAGGCTCTCTTCCTGTCTCAGCCTCCTGAGTGCTGGGGTTAGAGGCATGCTGCACCATGCCTGGCTAGGTGAGGATTTCAGAGCAGGGAAAGTAGGGCTGTCTGTAAAGTGATTCTTTGCAAGGATGAAGACCAGATTAAAGTTCTTGCCTCAAGCACAAGGACCTGAATTTGATCCCCAGAACTTACATGAAAAGCAGGCTTGGTGGCATGCAATTGTAATCCCAGTGCTGGGGAGGCAGAGAAAGGGTCCCTGGAACTCGCTGGCCAGCCAGCCTAGCCTAATGGGCGAGATACTGGCCAATGAGTGCCTGTCTCAAAAATCAAGGTGGATGGTTATCTTGAGAAGACCCACAGTTGACCTCTGGCCCACAGACAGACAGACAGAGACACAGACACACACTGAGGGTGGGGGTGGGGTAGAGTGACAGTACTATAATACTTATGATGCTTGTCTATCCACCCAGAGCTTGTAGGTTGTCAAGTCCAACCTTCATGCTCACAGCACTTGACAGATCTAGAGGCTGGGATCTGTCCTATGAGCAGTCAACCTGCAGACTAAGTGATCTAGCCAGTGAGTAAGAGATGCGCTGGCCAATCAGACTTGGTCTTGGGGATCTGAACTATGACAGACACAAAGCTGTTAGCTAATAGGAACTGATGAGGAAAGTAAAGAGGGATAAAGGCCACCAGGATGGGGTCCCGTATATGTTAAAGCACTGACACCATATGGCTAGAAACCAGGTGAAGAGTCAATGGGTAGCAAACAGAGGCAGTAGAAATAGGGCCCTGGTGAGATGGAGCAGAGGTACAGCAAGCTGGCACCAAACTTGACAACCTGGATTCAGTCCCCAGAAGCCAGAGAGATGGGCTCCTGGAAGCCCACTCCCACAAGCCCACCATGCCATGTTTGTACACCTGTTTCCTCAAATAATAAAGGGCTGGGTGGTGGTGGCGTACACCTTTTATCCCAGCACTCAGAGGCAGAGGCAGGTGGGTCTCTGAGTTCAAGGCCAGCCTGGTGGTCTACAGAGTAAGTTCCAGGACAGGCTTCAAAGCTACAGAGAAACCCTGTTTTGAAAAACCAAACCAAACAAACAAACAAAAAAAAAAGCTGAAATGGGGCTCCATGGTAGAGATGGAGTAGGTGTCCCTGAACCCTGTGCCTTCCTCTCATGAGGAACTTACAAAATTATATAAGGTTCATTGTGTTATGTTGTGTACAAGTTTGTGTATTTGTGCTCATGTGTGGGCCAAGGGTTGGCATCGGGTGTCTGATTACTCTCCACCATACAGATGCATTTTTAAGATTAAAGTTTGAAAATTTATTACATTTTCATGGGTATGCCACATGTGTGTGAGTGCCCAAAGAAGCCAGAAGAAGGTGTTGGATTCCTCTGGAGTTGGTGTTACAGGTGGTGGAGAAATGCCTGACATGGGTCCTCTGGAAGAGATATTCTTTTTTTTAAATTTTGTTTTATCAAGGCAGGCTTCTCAGTGTAGCCTTGGCTATCCTGGAACGCTGTAGACCTGGCTGACCTGGAACTCACAGAGATCCACCTGTCTGCCCCATGAGTGCGGGGATTAAAGGTGTCACTACCGCCTGGAAGGTAAGAGGTCTTCTTAAGTGCAGAGACATCTCTCTGGGCCTTTCACCTTATTTGCTTGAACATGGAGAATACTGATTTAGTTAGGCTAGCAAGCTCAGAGAGTATTTCCTCCTCCTCACCGATCCTAGGATTACAGGTACACACCCTCACATGCAGATGTTATGTAGCTGCTGCCGATACAGACTCATGCATCCCTTAGAGCCACCTCCCCCAGCCCCGAGCCAGCATGAGTATGAGGTACCACTTGAAGGTTTTTATGCAGGGAAGCAATATGCTTACACCACATGTTATGAATATGGGTGCTGGTTCTAGACAGTCTCAATCTGAAGTAATAGGTTTAGGCAAGTTACTTAGACCCTCTGGTTCCCTCATTTGTAAGATGGTTATAATAATAGTACTGATCCTACAAGGTTGAAACAAAGTGAGAAACTACAGACAATGCACTTTGGATGAGGCTTTCTGTTAATATTTTCTTCAAGTGTCATTTATTTCACGCTCTTACCCCTTGGGGGTTTCCATCTCTTCTTTGTTGGTTGGTTCTTTATGATCTTTTCTCTCTACATCCATCCTGAAGTGACCTCATCCCACCATCTGGTGCTTTTAAACATCTTTAAATGCTACTCACTAGCAGGAGGCTTCTGCAGCCAATTCCTTACCGGGCCTCTCACTGAAGTTTCCAGCAGGCATCTCAAATATAACTTGACTCAAAGAGGACTCACATTCTCCCACTCCACCCCACCACTCCCGTTTCTTCTACAGTCTTCCAGTTCAATGGGAAATCTCAGTGTGGATGAACTCAAATCCTCAGAATCTTGGACTTGTTCCCACTTCTACCACTGCCAGAAACACATCAGTAAACATCAACATACAAGTGTCCCTTGCCTTTTCGAATACCTCTCATCTCTGCTACATTCCTTACTTTCAGGGGACCTGTTATGAGGACTGGAAAAGGGCCCAATCCAGTCCATTATAAAGCAGCATCATATTAGGGCTGTGTGTATGTGAATGTGTGTGTGTGTGTATGGTGAATGTCTGAGTATGGGGGTGATGGCCTGTGAGTATGCACACAGAGGAAGGAAGTCTATCTCAGATTTTCCCTTGATTTTCCTCTACCTTATTGTCTTGAAACAAGGTCTAACTATTTATCCCTGGCTGACCTTGAACTCACAGAAATCTTCCTGCCCCTGGCTCCAGAGTGCTGGGATTAAAGGTACGTGCCACCACACCAGGCCCTCTCACTGGATCTGGCGTTTGCCATTTGGCTGGGCTGGCTAGGCACCAAGTCCCAGAGATCCTCCTGCTTCACACAGCACTACCGTTACAGATATGCACTCTGTACCGGGCTTTTACATGGGTGCTATAGATCTGAAAGGTCCCCATGCTTGGACAGTATGCACTGTACCCCAAGTTCCATCTCCCTTTAAAAGTTTCTTCTGTGTATGTATCTGTGTCACGTTTGCATGCAGGAGTGCATATGTAGAAAACAGAGGATAACCTCAGGTATCGTTCCTCTGACATTGCCCACGCTGATGTTCCATTGGCCTGGAACTAGATTAGCTGACCCAGGAAGTCCCAGAAATCAAGCTGTCTCAGCCTTTCCAGTACCCTACTCTTCTACATGGGTTTTGGGAAACAAACTCAGGTTTCTCAGCACACTGTACTAAACGAGACTTCTCCCCACACACTGGTTTTTAGATAAGTAATGCCTGGGGCATACAAATAGCTTCCTGAGTCCCTATTCACCCTACAGACTAGCACACATTAGGCTCACAGTCTTTTTGTAGTCATAGTTTGTTGCTATTCTTGTAGCTCTCTGCTAACACAATTTGGGATGGCCACAGTGGCCCCCTTGCAGTCTATGGATACATGGGGGGGGTCTCTGCCCTTGCTACCTGTTCCAATCCCACCTTGGACCCTTGGCAGGGGTACATATCCAGCATGCAGGAGGCTCCAAATCCAGAAGCAAAATCTCACCTACAAGCTCTAGGCTAGCAAGGGCTATTTTGCCCATAGCTGTAATCTCCACAGTCTGCATAATGCTTGGCTAATAGCCACACAATAAATATTTATGGAGTAATGACTTTCTAAGTGCCACTCCCTTCTCTGAATTCCTGTAATACTGGTCTACGCCATTCTTGAGAGACTTACCTGTTCCTGAAAGCTCTCACTTGCCTATGAGCCCAGAGGCCTAGGGCACAGTCTGTCAGAGACGAAGTTTACTGATCACACCTCTCACGACCCGATTTGATTTTAAATTGAGGGTAAGCAAGTCTGGTAGGTAGGTATTAAGAGCAAGACTTGCATTTTTGGTCTCTTGCATTCTAGATTAACTCATCAAAACATTTTGAAAAGCGAATTTCTAGGGCTGGGGCCTTCAGTTCAGTGTTAAGAGCATTAGCCTAGTATGTATGAGGCTCTGGGTTCAATCTCAAGTTCTGAAAATAAAGAGGGATCCCTGAGTCACTAGATGGAGCTAGGAAGAGCCTCATTAGGCAAACAGGCTGAGTCTTTGCAGATAATGTAGAAAAGTATACATAACAGCCAGCATTTATTGAACCAATGTTCTAATCTTTTTACCCGCGTCTTCCTCACAACTACCCTGTCTGATAGCCAGGCAGTGAGGTCAGGTATCCGTATGGCTTATCCACCTGTCGTCTTTTGGTACCTAAAGGCTTCCTGCCTGGTCATGATAGCAGGTGTTCAGCCACAGGGGCGGTAGCGCCGGCGTCCCAGTGCAGGTTCCGCTCGCTCTCTAGGGGCCGGGCCCCATTCCGGCGCACTAGTTCCGGGTCCGGGTGGGGCGCGAAGTGCCGGTCCCCTCCCAGTTTAGGGCCTTCCGCATCCTCCGCCCAGGGGATCAATGAACCCTCAGGTACCCCGTGTCCTCCAGATGCTAGCTGGCGAAGCTGGCAGCAGGAGGGTGCGACGGCTGCCTTGATCCCTCCGGTATGGCGGAGCCCAGGGCTAACAGAACCGACGCGCCTGGCCCGCGTAGGCCCCGCCCTCCCACAACAGGGCACGCCCACTCGACCACAGGGCCCACCCCTGTCCCCGCCCCCCGCGCAGAGCTCCATACTTGGCGATCGCCGCGGCCCCGCTCGCTCATTGGTCGCGAGCTGGCGGCGTGGGGGGCGGGCCGGGCTGGCCGGGGCGGGGAAGGAAGGTGGCGGCGGCCCGGCGCAGGGGGGGAGGGGGGTGCTGACCCGGATGTTCACTCTTGGGCACCCGGGGAAGTGGAAGCGCCGGGCCCTGCTGCGGGGGGGAGAGCTACAGACGCCGGGACAGGGACCGTCGCCGCCGCCGCCACCATGGTAAAGGGATCCCCCTCCCCCGCGGCCCCATCCCGGGACCCCACGCGGGAGCTCAGGTCCCCTACCGAGCGGACCCGCCGGCTCGAAGAGGGTGGGGACCCAGGGTGGGGGAGGGGCGGGGTCCGGGACCCTGGGCAGACGCCACCCCTCAGGTCCCGAGGGGTCGGCGGGAGGCTCGGGTGGTGCGTGACCCCGCCCTGGGCTCCATGTGGAGCCCGGTTCTTTCCCCGGCATGTCCAGGCTAGTCTCGAGGATCCCAGGCTAGACCTTCCTTCCCCTAGAGGCCGGGCCAGGCACCCCTCTCTCAGGCCTGCATCCCATGACCTGAGCTAGGCTCCCCTTACCTCGGTCCCAGGGCCCAGGCTAGGATGGTGCTTCTCGCTGCTGCGACCTATGCTAGGCCCCCTCCCCCAAACTCTTCTCTCCATGGCTGGACCCCGACAACCCCTTTCTAGTGGCCTTAGCCTACGTTTGTTTCCTTCATCCCTGATCTTCTCTCCGTGGTCCTCAAGTCTGGACTCTACTCCTGCTGTGCCCCTCACCTGCACCTCCTTGACCCTGGCCCTAGCGATCCCCTTCCCCCAGACTTCTCACGACTTAGTCTGCGTCAGTCCGCTGTTCTCACCCTCACCCTCCCATCTAGACCCTGCTTGCTTGGTGTCCAGCTGCCGATCCAGGTGTCCCCTCCCCTATTCCTAGTACGCTCCTTCTTGGCAGTTTCTGGCAAGCGGGGGAGAGCCCCAGCCGGGGTGGGGGTGGTCCGGGTACTGTGCTTTCCTATACTTGAGACTTGCCCCTCTTGGGAGGCTGCTTCGGTGAGAGAGAGAGAGTGAGAGAGAGAGAGAGAGAGAGAGAGAGGAGAGAAGGGCGGCATCTGTGTGCCCGGAAGGCAGAGCAGGGCATTTCCCGTGGCCGCCGCCTCGGTGCAGCCAGCACAGGGCGTCTTGCGGGGCGCCCTGCCTGAGTGAGGAGCGGAGTGCTGACGGTGAGTAAGCCGAGTGGACAGGGATGAACGCACAATCGCTCTTGTGAGGCTACAGCACTGGGGCTGCGGGACACCAAGCTCAGAGGCCAACATATGGCCTGAACACGATGCACCCTAGCAGGCGCAGCCTCCCTTTCCCTCTGAACTGTCAGCTTGTCAGGGTCGGAACTGCTGATTATGGAGGGGCCTCCGATCAGGTGAGCTAAACTTGCAGGCTGAGAGTTGAACTCTGCTGTGGGTTTTGGTAATGAAGTCAGAAGCTCTGTGTGAGCAAATTATTCGAGGAGCCTTAGGGGTGCTTCCCCCCATAACCCTTCCCCCCATCCCCTTGGACACCTTGTACAGAGCAGGCCCCACACCTAGATGGGAGGGCCTCACATGGTCAAGGAAGCTTGTAAAGTGAACAGAGCTAAGGCCATCCACGTGCTGCATGCATCCTAGCCTTGAGGTCGGTTTCTCTCCTGCCTGATGATAGACGTTTGGGAGAGGACTTTGAGCTCTAGATGGTTTTGAGGAGCCCCGTTCCTTGTTTAATCAAGGGTGTAGCAACTGAATTAGGGTTCCTAATTCTGGTTGACTAATAAACTGGTGGGCAAGATTGTTTGTCATACTATTGCTCTTTGCAAACTGGCCTGGGGGTCTGCATGGGGAAGGACTCATCAGGGACAATTTTGGTTGAGGTGAAGTTTTCTAAGCCAAAGCCAGAGATGGTGGAGTGGAGTGGAGTGGCTGGAGTCCTGTGCTTCTGCTGTCGTCATCTTCTGACAGGTGAATAGGCTGGGGCACTCCTTGTACCTCACTCAGAGTGTTGCTCGGTCTGTATAGACCACTCTTGGTCAGTGGAAACATGACTGACGGGCTCCAGTGATCTTCCGTGTATGCTGTTGTATGTCTGGTTTAATGACACTGTTTAAGAAACCTAATGACGGGATGCTCAAGCATGGCAAGGGAGGGCAGAGTGCTTATTCCTGCAGACTGAGTGTGGATCTTCCCAGTAACCGGAAATGTCATCTTAAGACAGTAGTATGGTTTGCGTGGACCTGATTCTGAGCTTTTTGGGGACTGAGGTTTTGGTGTGGTGTTTTCGGTCTCCATCTGGGATCTCGAGCAGTACCTAAGACTGAAAGATGCGGTGTGGAAGGCTGGCACCTGTAATCTGGTGTTTAAGGCATTCAAGGCCAGCTTGGGTAACAGAGCGAGACCCCAAGTTTCAAAAAAGAAACAGGAGATTGCTTAGAATGTCTAAAAGCTTTAGCCACTTGGGGTTTGGTGTTCATTCACTCACCGACTTGTCCTCCATGTCGTCCCCCCCCCAGGCCTCTCAGTAATTTCTGACTGCCTATTGTCAAATCTATACCGTGTTTGAATGATCGGATGCTCTGGTATGGGTAGTTGGATCAAGCAGTTGGCAGAGTGGGTCTGTATCATAGGTAATGGAGGACACTATGGTTTTCTTTTCATTGGGCTTGGTTGTAGAGCAAACAGTTAGCTCCAGTTTTCCTACTGAGGGAAAGGGGCCTGAGATTCTTATTTTTGGGAGTCAGGTTCACTGTCCCTGTTAAGGATGCTTAGGCAAATGGGGTTTACTTGCATTCCCTTAGCAGGCAATCTTAACCACTGTCCCTAAGTGTTTCACAATTTCAAAGCACTGTCCTACCAGAGCTCTGGCTTCTAATTTAAGGTTATTATTGTGAGCGTTAAGACGCTGTTGCTTGATGGTGGCACTGTAGTAGTAGGGAAAGGCCAAGGAGGCCCCTCAGGAGCTGCCACTCCAACTCAGGTGGCATTGCCAACAGAAGTTGGTAGGAGAGGCTCCTCCTGTTCAAAGGGGACATCATGCAGTAGGTATTGATGTGTCTTGGTGGTCTTCTTCTGTGAATAAGCTAGATAATTCAGATGCCAGAGAGATGGCTCAGTAAGTAAAGGTGACTGCTGCCAGGCCTGAGGAGCAGAGTTCAATTTCTGGAGCCCATCTATAGGAGAGAGCCAATTCCTCCATGTCTTCCTCTAACCTTCATACTCGAATAGTCTCTTCCCCCCAGTAATAAATAAACAAACACTATAACTTTAAAAAAATGCGTAAGTCAACTCAGAGAGCCCATGTGTGAGCTCTTTAATCCCAGCACTTGGGAGGCAGAGACAGGCAGATCTGAATGAATTCTAGGATAGCTAGGGCTACACAGAGAAACTCTTGTCTTGAAAAACAAAAACAGTAGCTGGTGATCACTAGTTGAAGAGTAAGGAAATGACAGACCACGCCTGTGAAGGTAGGTCTTCCTACTTATAACTTGTTATACTGTTCCATCCTGTGGAGGCGGAAGGAGGACAGGTGATGGTGGTGGCATGGCGCGCAAGGGTCTTGACATTTCAGAACCTTGCCTGCCAGAGTTCTGGTCAGCCATTACAAGGCATCTTGCCTGTCTGACGCTACAGACCATTGCCTCTGTGTTTGTTTCTTGTGGTTGGATGTGCCAGGAGGCAGAGGTGAGGAAGGCAGCCGCGGATTTGGGCCTTCCGCCTTCCACTGGTGAGGGACCTAGAACTGGGAGATATAGCTGGGAAAGTCGGGCATAGTGTCACACACCTGTAACTCCAGCTACTCAAGAAGTTCAGGTCTATCCTGGGCCATATGGTGAGAGAGCCAGCCCGTTTCTCTTCTAACATTAAGGGAGAAAGTGTTTAAGGTAGCTGCACACACACGTAAGCCTGAGCTGTGTTTTGATGATGTAAGGGGACGTTGCTGCTTGAGCTAGCTTCTACTCTCCAGGCTTTTCAAGTGTGCTTGGCCTAGTGCCTGCCATGCAGTGAAGTGTGTGTGTTTGTAGCCTGTTTCACCATGTTAGACAGTGGGTTTAAGTATTGACCCATAAGCCCTGCAGGTATAAGGGGCTTGGAGCAGATCCTCTGGTGGGGGTGGGGCATGGAAGCCTGGAAGTGGCCACTGCACGTTCATGGCTTTGGGAGCAGCTGGTGTAATGCCATTTTAGGCATTCATAGACTAGTGTTTCAGCTTAAGGAGGTGGGGATATTGATGGGGCTCTTGCCCTATGCCATGAACTCTGCCAGAGGTTGTTGATTTGGCCTTGTAAAAGCTTGGTGAGGAACGTTCAGCTTGGACCACAGACATCAGAGTATAAGAAGTCAGCATAGCGGGGCTCTAGGCTGGTTAGAGATAGATAGACGCTGTCTCAAAACCACTGCCCCTCCCCCCCAAAAAAAGAGAGAAAGAAACAGATTTGGATGTGTTGTGTTCATGGGTGGAGTCCCCTGAGAAAGGACAAGGGACAGAAATCCAGAGCTCTTGAGCCTGCAAGGCCTTATCTCTTGTACCTTGCACTGTCTGCCTGGTGTTCTGAAGGTATTTCCTGGCGCTGAGTAAGCCAAAAGTGAGAGCTGAGAGGTGGCTGCCTCTCCTTTGCTGCCTTCAGCGTGGGGCGTACCTGGAGGGAGTCCTGATGGCCTTTCAGTGTGTGACCTCCGTGAGGACTTCTTCCTTCCCCTCAGATCCTTGATGTGCAATGTGAGGAGAGCATTTTATAGGGGCACCAGGAAAAGGAAATAAATTTATCTCGTGTGTGTGTGTGTGTGTGTGTGTGTGTGTGTGTGTGTATTTGTGGTGTGAGTGTGTGTATGTGGGGTGTGTGTTTGTGTGTGTGTCAGAGGGTAACTCTAGGGAGTTGGTTCTCTTCTTCCACCATTAGGTTCTGGGGATCGAACTTAGACCTTCAGGATTGACAGTGGGGACCTTTCTCTGGCCCAGAAACGGTACTTTTAATACACTTCCTGCATAGTAAATTGCAGCTATGGCTACTCTCTGACGTGTTTTGCATACCCAAGTGTCCGTGTCCTCTACTGGAGAGGAGGCATGGTGTGTTCAAGAAACTTAGTACAGGGGCTGGAGAGATGACTCAGGTTAAGAGCCCTGACTGCTCTTCCAGAGGACCTGGGTTCAATTCCCAGCACCCACATGGCAGTTCACACCTGCCTGTAACACCAGTTTCAGGGGACCTGACAC